TATATGTCGTTATCATGTCTCCCCCGACCCTCCTGGCCTCCAGTGTCGTCAGGCCGATTTCCCTCAAACCCTTTTTCGTTGGACAATCCCCCTAGCTTGGGACTGGTCTTGTTGCAAACCTTTGCACTTTATCTAATTTCTTGACGTGCTTGACTAGGTGTGGATTCCAAACTGGTTTCTGCATTTCTCCAGTATGGGCCTGACGTTTAATGGTATACAGAGTCTTGAACGACTCCCTTTCTGAGGTATCGGAACGCTATCCGTAGGTTTTTCCAGGCGCCCGTATGCTGCAGCAGTTATTGATTGATGTGCGCCCCAGGAGATAATGCTCGGTGTTTATACTACCCCCAGATCTTTTTCCTTGAGTGAGGTTTGGGAGACTTTGGCCATCTAAACTATATTGTGTCTGCGGTCTTCTTTGCCCTTCCCCCAAACTTCATGACTTTGCATTTGGCAGGGTTAAACTCAAGGAGCCAGTTGCTGGACCAGGCTTGTAGCCTGTCCAGGTCTCTTTGTGTCCTGCCTGATCCTCATCCGATTTGATTTTCTCATTAACTTCACATCGTCCCCAAACAAGGACACTTTGAGTCTTTCCCTTCCCTTATGTCTTTTACATATACCAAGAACAGCACAGGTCTAGGACTGACCCTGTGGAACTCCGCTTGTCACAGGCGCCCACTTTGACACCTCGTCACGTACCATGACTCGTTGTTGCCTCCCTGTAAGGTATTCTCTTATCCATTGCAGTGCCTTTCCTGTTATGTGTGCCTGATCCTCTAGCTTTTGCAGTAACCTCTTGTGAGGAACTGTGTCGAAGGCCTTCTTGCAGTCCAAAAAAATGCAGTCGATCCACCCCTCTCTCTTTTGTCTTACTTCTGTCACCTTGTCATAAAACTCTAGTAGGTTTGTGACACAGGATTTTCCCTCCCTGAAACCATGCTGGTTGTCAATTATACACTTGTTTCTTTCCAGGTGCTCCACCACTCTCCACACGTTAGTGATACAGGTCTGTAGTTTAGTGCCTCATGTCTGTCTCCCTTTTTAAAAATTGGGACTACATTTGCCATCTTCCATACCTCGGGGAGTTGCCCAGTTTCAAATGATGTGTTGAAGATCTTTGTTAATGGTACACACAATGTCTCTGCTCCCTCTTTAAGGACCCACGGAGAGATGTTGTCTGGTCCCACCGCCTTTGAGGTGTCAAGTTCGCATAGCAGCTTCTTCACCTCCTCCTTGGTTATATGTACCTCATCCAGCACTTGCTGGTGCACCCCCTGCTCTGATTTCCTGGAGTCCTACTGGTTTCCACTGTAAATACTTCTTTAAATCTTGTGTTGAGCTCCTGACATACCTCCCGGTCGTTTCTTGTGAACTCCCCATCACCCTTCCTCAGTCTGATTACCTGGTCCTTGACTGTTGTTTTCCTCCTGATGTGGCTGTACAACAGCTTCGGGTCAGTCTTGACTTTCGATGCTATGTCATTTTCATATTGTCGCTGAGCCTCCCTTCTTATCTGTGCATATTCGTTACTGGCTCTTCGGCTAATCTCTTTATTTTCCTGAGTTCTCTGTTTCTGACCTTTCCATTCTCTAGTACACTAGTTTTTGCCTCCCTACACCTTTGGGTGACCCAAGGACTCGTTCTGTTCTTCCCATTATTTCTGTTTCCCTTGGGAACAAACCTCTCCTCTGCCTCCTTGCATTTTGTTGCCACATAGTCCATCATTTCTTGTACTGGTTTTCCTGTCAGTTCCCTCTCCCACTGAATGTCTTGAAAGAAGTTCCTCAAGCCTGAGTAGTTCCCCCTTTTGTAGTTTGGTTTTTCCCACCCTGTGTGTGTGTGTGTGTGTGTGTGTGTGTGTGTGTGTGTGTGTGTGTGTGTGTGTGTGTGTGTGTGTGTGTGTGTGTGTGTGTGTGTGTGTGTGTGTGTGTATGTGCGCGAGCGCACGCATTTGTGTCATGGTACAAATTAAATATCCTTAATAGCTGCATAATTTTTAGGTCAAAAATTATAATTATGACTGGTAATTAAGCCCGGTCATTAAGCGACTCCACTAATGACTAATTGCTATAAACTGAGTCAACATTACTTAAGCATAAAAAAACATTTTTCAATGCCTTTTGCATGAATATTTCATGAGAGTTTTGGAGGTGAAGCAAAAATATGATGAGAGGCAGAACTCAACAAGCATTCATTATCAGCCCAGCACCATCATTGTACTACACTGTCATTATACAACACAATCAGTATACAACACTGTCATTATACCTGCCTACCTGGAGTGTACCTGATGGATGTTCCAGGGGTCAACGCCCCCTCGGCTCTGTCCAAGACCAGGCCTCGCAGTGGATCAGGGCCTGATCAACCAGGCTGTTACTTCCGGCCGCATGCAATCCATTGTACGAACAAGAAACCGGTGGTCAGGCTTTAACTTTAGGTATCTGTCCATCTCCTGTTTGAAGACAGTTAGGAGTCTATTGGTAATTCCCCTTATGTATGCTGCGAGGCAGATGAACAGTCTTGGGCCCCTGACACTATTGAATTATCTCTTAGCGTATTCACTGTGTTCCTGCTTTTCTTCTATGTTACACCGCCTGCCGAGTCTTTTGTTTTCGTAGGGAGTGATATTTGTGTGGAGATTCGGGACTAGGATTTTTCAAGGGTATGTTATGATGTATCTTTCTCGCCTGCGTTCAAAGTAGTACACGTCAAAAAACTTAAAATATTCCCAGTAATTTAGGTGCTTTATTGTAATTATACGTGCAGTGAAAATTCTCTGTATATTCTCTAAATCTGCAGTTTGGCCTGCCTTGAAACGCGCCGTTAGTGTACAGCAGTACTCTAGCCTAGAGAAAGAGAACGAGTGACTTAAAGAGGATCATCACTGGCTTGGCATCCCTTGTTTTGAAGATTCTCATTATCCATTCTATGATTTTCCTAACAAATGTGATAAAGACTGTGTTGTGATCTTTGAAAGTGAGATTCTCTGACATTATCACTCACAAGTTCTTCATATTGTTTTTCTCTCTATCGTGTGATTAGAATTTGTTTTATACTCCGATCTAGTTCTTATTTCCTTAAGTTTTCCATAAGAGGGTAATTGAAATGTGTTCTTGTTGAACTTTATATTGTTTGCTGAGGCCCATTTAAAGACTTGGTTTATACCCCCCATGGATATTTGCAATGACCTCCACGGATGACACAGTCATGCAAATTCTAGAATCTTCAGCAAAGAAAGACACGGTGCTATAGTTTTAATCTCTATGTTAGATAAGAGTATGAGGAACAGGCTGGGAGCGAGTACTGTGCCTTGTGGAACAGACTGGGAGCGAGTACTGTGCCTTGTGGAACAGACTGGGAGCGAGTACTGCTGTGGAACAGCTGGGCGGTACTGCTTGTGAACAGACTGGGAGCGAGTACTGTGCCTTGTGGAACAGGCTGGGAGCGAGTACTGTGCCTTGTGGAACAGACTGGGAGCGAGTACTGTGCCTTGTGGAACAGACTGGGAGCGAGTACTGTGCCTTGTGGAACAGACTGGGAGCGAGTACTGTGCCTTGTGGAACAGGCTGGGAGCGAGTACTGTGCCTTGTGGAACAGCTGGAGCGAGTACGGCTGTGAACAGTGGGAGCGAGTACTGTGCCTTGTGGAACAGGACTGGGAGCGAGTACTGTGCCTTGTGGAACAGACTGGGAGCGAGTACTGTGCCTTGTGGAACAGGCTGGGAGCGAGTACTGTGCCTTGTGGAACAGACTGGGAGCGAGTACTGTGCCTTGTGGAACAGACTGGGAGCGAGTACTGTGCCTTGTGGAACAAACTGGGAGCGAGTACTGTGCCTTGTGGAACAGACTGGGAGAGAGTACTGTGCCTTGTGGAACAGACTGGGAGCGAGTACTGTGCCTTGCGGAACAGAACTGGGAGCGAGTACTGTGCCTTGTGGAACAGACTGGGACGAGTACTGTGCCTTGTGGAACAAACTGGGAGCGAGTACTGTGCCTTGTGGAACAAACTGGGAGCGAGTACTGTGCCTTGTGGAACAGACTGGGAGAGAGTACTGTGCCTTGTGGAACAGACTGGGAACGAGTACTGTGCCTTGTGGAACACAGATTTTCACTGTGACAGCCTCTAACTTTTCTCTCTCTACTATTACTTTTTGTGTTCTATTAAGTTAAAGATCTATCCACCTGTTTTTCTTGTCTTTCCTTTATCACGCATTTAGTGTGTTCTTACACCGTGATAGCACTTGTCAAAGGCTTTTGCAATCTGTTCGTCCTCCAGTGCAACTAAGACCATGTCATAGTGGTCCAGTAGTTGTGAGCGGCAGGAGCGACTTGTTCTAAACCCATGTAGCTCTGGATTGTGCAATTAGTGGGTATCCAGTTAGTTGGTGATCTTGCTTCTTAGAACTCTTTCGAAGATTTTTTATAATGTGGGACGTTATTGCTACCAATCTGCAGTTCTTCGCAATAGCTTGTGGTGTGTGGCTATATCCGTTGTTTTCAGCGACTATGGGATGACCCTTGTGTCTAGGCTCCTTCTGTATAGAATATTTAAAGCACATGAGAGGGGTTTCTCGCAGTACTTGATGAACACAGAGTTCCATGAGTCTGGACCTGGGACAGAGTGCATGAGCATGTCGTTAAACGCTTTTTTGAAAATCGAATGGTGTTAGGGCTTTATACGAAATTCTGAAAAAAAAAAAAATTCAGTCTCGGCTATAAAAAAAATCCTTAGATTATCAACCGTTAGTCTGATTAATTAGTGACTAAACACTGAGTCACACTGAAACTTAAGTATCTCACTCATTTCCTTGATGTCATCGATGTAATTCCCATCTTGTTTAAGTAAGGGCCCAATACTGGATATGGTTTTTGTCTTACATTTAGCATATGAAAAGAAACATTTGGGATTTCTTTCAATTTCACTTATTGCTTAAAGTTCTTTGTTTCCTGGATTATGTAAAATTTCTTTAACTTAAGTTTGATATTTTCTCTTTTTTCTAGCCTGTGCCTCTTACAGTATTCCAGATAGACTGGCCTCTTGGAGAAGCACTGTGATTCTTCGCCTTCTCCTAAGAGGGATCATCTCTCTCTTTCTAGTTTACATCTTCTCTTCTTTTTCCTTTTGCCTTGAGCATACCTCAAGTGCCACAGAGTTAATCCCTTCTAGGAACTGGTTCTGATCTATTTTGTTTATATCTCAACATGTTTCCTTTAGGACACGGTGAATTTGATCCCAATGAATGTTCTGTTATTGAAGTTGAATTTGGTGAAGGCATCCTCATAACTGATCTTATTTTACCGGTCAGGACCTCTGTGGTTACAAGTCTGAACTTGGATTATGTTGTGATCCAAATTTATTGTCTCTGATACTGCTATATTTTGTACCATATCATCATTATTAGTTAAAGTGAGGTCAAGTGCATTTTCCAGTCTTGCTGGATCCACTATTTGCTGGCTTAAGGCAAATACAGTCTTTATGCAACATAGTCATTATACAACACAGTTATTATGCAACAGTCATTATGCAACACAATCATTATACAACAGTCATTATACAACAAAGTTATTATGCAACAGTCAGTATGCAACACAATCATTATACAACAGTCATTATACAACACAATCATTATACAACAGTCATTATACAACACAATCATTATACAACACAGTCATTATACAAAACAGTTATTATGCAACAGTCATTATACAACACAATCATTATACAACACAGTCATTATACAACACAATCATTATACAACACAATCATTATACAACACAATCATTATACAACACAATCATTATACAACACAGTCATTATACAACACAATCATTATACAACACAATCATTATACAACACAATCATTATACAACACAGTTATTATACAACAAGTCATTATACAACACAATCATTATACAACACAGTCATTATACAAACACAATCATTATACAACAAGTCATTATACAACACAATCATTATACAACACAATCATTATACAACACAGTCATTATACAACACAATCATTATACAACAGAGTCATTATACAACACAGTTCATATATACAACACAATCATTATACAACCACAGTCATTATACAACACAGTCATTATACAACACAGTCATTATACAACACAGTCATTATACAACACAATCATTATACAACACAGTCATTATACAACACAGTCATTATACAACAACAATCATTATACAACACAGTCATTATACAACACAATCATTACACACTACAACAATCATTATACAACACAATCATTATACAACATCAATCGCAGTCATTATACAACACAAATTCATATCTTATACAAACAGTCATTATACAACACAATCATTATACAACACAGTCATTATACAACACAGTCATTATACAACACATCATTATACAACACAATCATTATACAACACAATCATTATACAACACAGTCATTATACAACACAGTCATTATACAACACAATCATTACACAACAGAGTCATTATACAACAGAGTCATTATACAACACAGTCATTATACAACACAATCATTATACAACACAATCATTATACAACACAATCATTATACAACACAGTCATTATAACAACACAGTCATTATACAACACAATCATTATACAACAGAGTCATTATACAACAGAGTCATTATACAACACAGTCATTATACAACACAATCATTATACAACAGAGTCATTATACAACACAGTCATTATACAACACAATCATTATACAACACAGTCATTATACAACACAATCATTATACAACACAGTCATTATACAACACAGTCATTATACAACACAATCATTATACAACACAGTCATTATACAACACAGTCATTATACAACACAGTCATTATACAACACAATCATTATACAACACAATCATTATACAACACAGTCATTATACAACACAGTCATTATACAACACAATCATTAACAACAAGTCATTATACAACAGATCATTATACAACACAGTCATTATACAACACAGTCATTATACAACACAATCATTATACAACACAATCATTATACAACACAATCATTATACAACACAGTCATTATACAACACAGTCATTATACAACACAATCATTATACAACACAGTCATTATACAACAGATCATTATACAACACAGTCATTATACAACACAATCATTATACAACAGAGTCATTATACAACACAGTCATTATACAACACAATCATTATACAACACTAGTCATTATACAACACAATCATTATACAACAGAGTCATTATACAACACAGTCATTATACAACACAATCATTATACAACACAGTCATTATACAACACAATCATTATACAACAGAGTCATTATACAACACAGTCATTATACAACACAATCATTATACAACACAGTCATTATACAACACAATCATTATACAACAGAGTCATTATACAACACAGTCATTATACAACACAATCATTATACAACACAGTCATTATACAACACAATCATTATACAACAAAAAGTCATTATACAACACAGTCATTATACAACACAATCATTATACAACACAGTCATTATACAACACAGTCATTATACAACACAATCATTATACAACACAGTCATTATACAACACAGTCATTATACAACACAATCATTATACAACACAGTCATTATACAACACAATCATTATACAACAGAGTCATTATACAACACAATCATTATACAACACAATCATTATACAACACAGTCATTATACAACACAATCATTATACAACACAATCATTATACAACAGAGTCATTATACAACACAGTCATTATACAACACAATCATTATACAACACAGTCATTATACAACACAGTCATTATACAACACAATCATTATACAACACAGTCGTTATACAACACAGTCATTATACAACACAATCATTATACAACAGAGTCATTATACAACACAATCATTATACAACAGAGTCATTATGCAACACAATCATTATACAACACAATCATTATACAACACAGTCATTATACAACAGAGTCATTATACAACACAATCATTATACAACACAGTCATTATACAACACAATCATTATACAACAGAGTCATTATACAACACAGTCATTATACAACAGAGTCATTATACAACAGAGTCATTATACAACACAGTCATTATACAACACAATCATTATACAACAGAGTCATTATACAACACAGTCATTATACAACACAATCATTATACAACAGAGTCATTATACACCACAGTCATTATACAACAGAGTCATTATACAACAGAGTCATTATACAACACAGTCATTATACAACACAATCATTATACAACAGAGTCATTATACAACACAGTCATTATACAACAGAGTCATTATACAACACAATCATTATACAACAGAGTCATTATACAACACAATCATTATACAACACAATCATTATACAACAGAGTCATTATACAACACAGTCATTATACAACACAGTCATTATACAACAGAGTCATTATACAACAGAGTCATTATACAACACAATCATTATACAACAGAGTCATTATACAACACAATCATTATACAACACAATCATTATACAACAGAGTCATTATACAACACAGTCATTATACAACACAATCATTATACAACACAATCATTATACAACAGAGTCATTATACAACACAATCATTATACAACACAATCATTATACAACAGAGTCATTATACAACACAATCATTATACAACACAATCATTATACAACAGAGTCATTATACAACACAGTCATTATACAACACAGTCATTATACAACAGAGTCATTATACAACAGAGTCATTATACAACACAGTCATTATACAACAGAGTCATTATACAACAGAGTCATTATACAACACAGTCATTATACAACACAGTCATTATACAACACAGTCATTATACAACACAGTCATTATACAACACAGTCATTATACAACACAGTCATTATACAACACAATCATTATACAGCACAATCATTATACAACACAATCATTATACAACAGAGTCATTATACATGGTAGTCACGTTGCAAAGTTTCTTCTTGCACTGAGTTGTTCACATTGTTGTTGCAAATGTTCGCCTCTGAGGTGAACAAAACATGTTGATGAACACGAGTCAGTGAGGTTAATACAACGTGTTGATGAACATCAGTGTTATGAACACTGGTCATTGAACATCCACAGACATACGCCAGTAACTCCTTATTTGTTAATCACACCCTCCATGTGAGACCTGCTGACGAGGACCTCAACTAGAGGTGCAAATATACACACAAACTGTTACTCTTGCTTCTCTATCCATATATTGAGTATATGTTAAATATATTAACATATCAAACATATTAGCAATTTAACTTAACATTTGATTGTATATTAATGAGTGCAATAGTTTAGGAATTTACAGAGATTTGAAAGTAATTCAAGTTTTTGGAGCAACGATGCAGCAGGCGTTCCCTCTCCGGATGGCCACACTGAGACCCTGGAAGAGAAAGATTTGCCCAGGAGCCAAGTGCATCTGATGCTATCTGGTGGAGGTGGTACTTGTGGGCATGTGATCTTGTGATCGGGAGCTCCATCCTGCTGATCACCACATGTTGGGATGTAGGCGACAAAAATAACAGAAAGACACAATACCGTGACTGGAACAATACCCAGATAACCCGTACATAGAAGCGAGGAGCTTACGACGACGTTTCGGTCCACCTTGGACCATTTACAAAGTCACACTAACAAAAAGGAGAGAAGTGAGTATATATAGGCCAGGAGACAGGGACGGGACCAGAAGCGTAATAGAAAAGGAAGTAGAGAGATAGTGGTAGTAGTAATAATAGTAGAGTCAGTCAAAGACCACGAAGGAGGAGCACTGCAGGGGAGCTAGAGACCCACAAGGAGCACTGCAGGGGAGCTAGGGACCCACAAGGAGCACTGCAGGGGAGCTAGAGACCCACAAGGAGCACTGCAGGGGAGCTAGGGACCCACAAGGAGCACTGCAGGGGAGCTAGGGAACCCACAAGGAGCACTGCAGGGGAGCTAGGGACCCACAACGAGCACTGCAGGAGAGCTAG